CCTCCAACTCTGGCTGAAAGTGATTTCCTACAGAAATCAACATAAAGTCATTCAAGTTCCACTTATTACCCAGACATCACCATGGCTATTTTCAGAGCAGAAATGAAAATGGGATGTATATTCCTGCCACGCCCTGGCTTGGAGTGGTGTCAGCAGCACCAAATTCAAAGCCATCTCATGAAGGCAGCATGCCTACCGCTCAGGGAGAACTGCTGCCCCATATGTACACCTGGCCATGCCACTGGACCTTTCTCAGTTTATCTCACACAGTCCTGTATGGGTAGGAGGACGTACATTACCGTTTTGTAGATGGAGAAACAGCAGCTCAGAGTGCAAGGGGCCACCGTGAGATGTGAGGTCCTCACCTACCTCTCACTTTAGAAGCCACTGCTGAGGCTCAGGGCAAGCAAGCAAATTCTGTCAGCCCCACATGTGACTCCACCATGCTATGTTCATGGGGTTGTCATGAACCTCTAGAAGAATGACTGTTTAGACTTTCTGCTATGCACAGTCAGTGTGTGCAAGCATGCATGTGTGTGCGCATGTTTGGGGGTGATGTTATAGCATGAAAGTGCCCCTCTAAAATTCAGAAGTTAAAACTTACAGGTACTAACAGATGAAGGCATAAGGAGTGTACAATAAATGAGATTAGTGCCATTATAAAAGATGCTGAAGGCTGGGCATGGTGACACATACCTGTAATCTCGGCACTTGCGAAGCTGAGGCAGCAGGATGGCCATAAATTTGAGGCCATCCTGGGCCTTAGATGAGTTCAAGGCCAGCCTCAGCTATATCACGAGACTTTGTCTCAAAAAACGAAAAGAAACGAGCGAACACAGGAGGCTGAAGGGAGTGCCCTACCCCCTGACTTTCTCTGACACAGCAAAAAGACCATCTTTGAAAGAGGCTTAATCTGCTGGCAACTTCATCCTAGATTTTCCAGGCTCCAGAAATGTGAGAAACATATTTCTGTTCTGTGGAATTGACCAAGTCTACAGCATTTTGTTGTGGCAGCCAGAGAGACTGACAGATGGCATGATGGAAAAGGATTTTGAAAGGACATACTGGAAAGGAGTCTGGAGGACGTTCTTCTGATAAAGAGACATGAATCCAGGTCAGATTTTCACTCTAGGAGGTGAGTACAGGTCAGAGGATGGGTAGTGCAGCCAGGGTCGGGACGCTGAGGGCCCACTGCAGTCACCTGGCTCCAGCCTCTTGTGCCCACCTGGTGGCTTTGAGAGAGCAGTGATGGTAACTGACAGGGACATGGGAGTGGGTGGAGAAGGAAGCCCGGATCCCCTGGCTGTAGTCAGTGGTGGTTCCAACCACACTGCTCAGATCTCCCTGCTAGAATCTGAAGAACAGGAAGACACAGAGCAGATTTGGGCCAGAGGTCAAGACAAGCACGCCTTTCTCCTGGGATAACCTCACCTCCTCAGGGTTTCTAGCTGATCTAGGCCCAATCCTGCTAATACCACACAATGGGCATAGAGGATGGTAGCTCCTGAAAGCTTGAGGCTGGCAAGGTGACCTGAACTGCAGGTGCTAAAAACTGATAATTCAAGCTGGGCGTGGTGGCACATATCTGTAATCCTGGCACTCTGGGAGGCTGAGACAGGTGGGTTGCAAGTTCAAACCCATCTCTGTCAACTTAGTGATTTAGTTAGATCAGATCTCAAAATAAAAAAATAAAAAAGAACTGGGGGTGTTGGTCAGTGTGAAGGTCCTGGGTTCAATCCCTAGTACTACGGAAAAAAATTGAGTAATTATAATAGTACACCGTTGCAAAATTTTATCATGATGGGTAAAGTCAAAATCTGACCAGTTTGTTCTTTTATCAGTATTAAATTTCATCTCTATTGTCTTATTACAGCATTATTAGTACAGTCAAATCCCAGCTGCTGCTAGGGAAAGACCATGGCAGAGAAGAGGAAAATGATTCAGGCTTTATATTCGTTTATATTTGATCATATATGTAAATCCTGGGGGAATGCAGAAATTGTCCATTTAGAATATTTCTTATTTAGTGGTATTTTCAAAATCCGATTAGTCAGGTCATTTAAAAAATAGTATGAATCAATAGCAATTACTTGCTTCTAAATTGAATCATAGCCCCAAAGAAATGTGCTATTAAAACATTACAGACTCCAGGTCATATGCAATACATCTCCACTCTCATTAAAAGAAATAATAAAGGGAAAATATTGAGGACAAAAAGGAAAGGAAAATTTCATTTTACGTTATTATTTTAATTTAATCCCAAGGTAGAAAGAGTGACCTTCTCTTGTATTTGAATGTTTAAAATATGGCAAATGCTCAACCTTGGTAAAATTATTTTTAATTTTAAGAGACTATTGTGTACCAGTTATGTGTTTATTTCAGCCAAGAGAATGCAAAGAATCTTATTTTTGGATCACAACAATAATATCTGTAACATTCCAGATAATGGCTTGGATTCTGAGTTTTTATTATAATCAGAAGACCTTTGGTGCCTTACTGTACTAATAAAAGAATATCAAAATCTTTAGAATACTCGAGCTCTTCCTACTTATTAATTTGGTACATTTTAATCATACATTAAAAAATGCAAATTATTATACATTAAAAATACAAACTTATGCAACGTATATTGTACAATTTAGTGCACTCAGATTTCTTAAGCTATAATTCATCACAACATTTTAATTTATTTGATTTATATGTGTGCCCTGAGTTAATATTCTAATCATCTTCAAGCTCAATTAAGCTTTGTCTTGGAGAATTTTTTACTTTTGACAAATTTGTCATTTATGTAATTTGACAAATTAATACACTAGTATAGAATAATGCCTTCTAATGTGTTGATCATTCATTTGATACAGACACAAGATGTAAATATCCATTTTTTTCATTTGCTTTCATCCATTTTCCCAAAATAGTGAGACACTGATACTCCAGTAAGTATCCTCAAGATCAGAACATTCTCAAGTTTATACAACAACTTTTTAAAAATGCCATCTTTCTAGAATGTTCAGCTTTGTTACCTTGAACACATCCTTTGCAAACTATTTGGTTTTTCATAGGGCAAATTCCTTAACCAAGTTCGAATATGTTTGCACTCAATTAAGACTATGTTTATACATTTCACAGATCTGGGTTTCTATTCTAATGTGTTTCTAAGAAATTTAAGGTTTTTTCACACAGATGATAAAAGACAAGTGTATGAGATTATCTTTCATTTGAGATAAGTGTGCAGAAAACTTTTTATATTTCATAGAAATATTTAAAGACTACCTTGAAGGCAATGGCACTACTGATAATTTATAACACAAACTTGCCTTTTTCATTGACTTGGAGGAGGAGACAGAGATTATTATATGATCAGAATGTAGAGGGAAAATGTCATAGAAATCTTTGAAGACTGCCTCGAAAGGAATGGCATTATTGATGCATTAATCTATAACACAAATTTGCCACCACTGTACGTTGGCCCTAAATTGGGTGCTTGTGCCTATTTCTAAATTAATTATTAATCAAGGAAGAAAATAGGCCCACAGTAGGAAAGGAACAAATCTTTTACCAAACTTCCAATGTAAATTGCTGTGAAGCATTAATTATGATGTTGAGCAATTATTACTAATTTGAGTATTTATCCTTTCTGTTTTTACTGAGATTTGGGAGGCTTAGATACTGCTTGTAGCAGTCATATTTTATACCCAAGCTACGCTGATGTTCCTTTTGCTAAATGATGCTGTTTGTTGGGAGGGGGCTGAAACAACCAGGGCAAAGCATTCTTCTGCTATGCCTTTGTGCCATGCTGCTTCTGCCTTGGAGTGACTGATCATGGACTGCAACTGAGAGCCAAAACAAACCTCTCCTTTAAGTTTTCAGTGTTGGATATTTTATCCCAGCAACATGAAAGTAACTAAAACAGTGTTATTGCTGGGGGACAGATGCACTATACATCTCTGGAGAGCAGACATGGGGCCTTTTATTTTCAAATTGGTAGCCCCTGGAATATAGTAGGTCTTACAAAATGTTTATCAAGTGAAAATGATAATGAATGAAAATGGAAGAAACACATAGGTGAGAATATAATTAAATTATAGTGATAACTCCAGATTCCATAGATATCATTTCCTCTGAGAACAGGGCCCGTAAAACAACAGATTATTCCATTTCCTTTCAGACTCACTATCCTGAATGAATAAATACCCACTAAGAGCCATAAAGTGCACGAAACAGTTTGCAGTGGAAACATTTTCCCATACTCATGTAGAGGACAAGGACTTGTCAGCTAAAGACAATGTGTGCATTCCTTCAGCTAGAAAACATGAGGCCCAGCTTGGTGTTTCCTCATGCAATGAGGAAATGTTTCCTCATACACCAGTATGGTGACCAATGGAGAAAATCCTGCTATATCTACAAAAATGATTTCTTTGCAAAGATGGAAGAAAAGCTTTAAAGATACTTCAGTAAAATAAAGGACACCAAGTATATAAACAGAAATGTGGGCAGATCAGTAAGGTTTATATTAGATACCATTATTATCTCCATCTTGCAGCTTAGTGGTGACAGTCAAGGGGGAAATGTAGAATGTTACAACATGGTGGGGTCGGGGCAAGGAGCCTCAGAAGAACGGGTCAAACAAAAAGCAAAACGCAAAGACAGGATACATGTTGAGAAAACCTAGTCTCAACCATGGCAAAATTGGGAACCACTTGGAGGCTCCATGCAGTGAAAATCAAGAGTCCCAAATCCTGAGGCTTAAGAAGATGAACCTAAGCTTTCCTCTTTAGTCAAAGACTGGTCCTCCAGACTGGTTTAGAGGACTGTTTTTCGACTTTCTAGAGTTTACTACTCAGTCCTAAAAATTCTTCTTAATGGTATTATTAAATTTACCTCCTCCTTTTACATGATGCATTTTTTAAGTGGAGCTCATCTATCAGAACAAAGAATAAAGCAGTTGAATCCTGCTTTTGCTATATCTGCTGAGCAGCAAAAATGATAAAACTACTCACGTTCCACAAAGTAAGAGCTGGCATCGATCTTCCAGATGATCTGTCCCCGATGGGAACCATTGACTCCACGGTTCTTATAGTCCAGAAAGTTTTCAGACAAGACTTCATCTATATCCACAAAAGAAGAAAGCAAAAAAGAAAAATGTATCAGTCAACAACACATTTAGAGAGAAAAAGAAAAGGAATGGAAAGAGCAAAGGATTTAAGTGCCATTCCTGGTTTAATAGAAGAAAAAGTCACCTGGAATTGAACTCAAAGAGCTAGATCAGCTGAAAACACCAGCAGGACTGACCTCTTCTCCCCACCTGACACTTCTGGCTAGTAGTCATCTAATTGGTTCTTGAACACCTCCCAAAACACAGCTAATCACTATGTTGGCAGTTCACTTAACTTTTTAATACTTCTTGCTATGTAAAGTTTCAGTATGAAAATGTCCTTCATGTGAGGCTGAAGATGGGACATGAAGAAAATGTCCCATCACTCTTTCCACCTGGGGTCCTACTTTTATGGACCCCTTCCCATATCATCTCTTCTCTGGGCACCACACGCAATTCATTCATTCATCCCTTCATAAACTCAGTCACTTGTTTATTCCAGTTGAGAATCATCATTTACCAGATATCAGGGAAGGTGCCGGGGCTGTGTTCTTGGGTGAAATCAATATGGCGTCTTCTGAACTAAAGCTTACACACAACTAAGCACAAAAGGAATTGTACCATTGTAACTCGGGATAAGAGATATGAAGGAAAGGAGAACAGGGTGCTGTAATAGACAGGGACAAGGAAGGAGGCCAACAGGGTATTCATAAAGTACTACAGGGTAAGAAGGACCACAGGGGTGGAGAATGCAGTGAGTGTTGGAAGGCTGTGTGAGCAGAACTGCCGCCTGGATACCCTGAAGTCACTGGTGGGTGATTGTTTGCTTTCACCCTTGTGGTGTCTCTTCTCATCATTTTGCAAACCATGGATCTCCAGCTTAAAGCTGATGCACACAGAGGAGAGCTGTATTCTTGGAAAAAACAGATTCTAGAAGATCAAAGTCACTTTCACCTCTTTGATTTCAGACCCTACACTTTTAGTGCAGATGAAGACACAAATATAATTTTTTAAAAGTAAATTTTATTTTGATCTGCTATAAGCCCTTAAAGTTTCCACTTCCCTGGAAAGTAATCAATTGAGATAGCTGGATCTGAGGCTGTGGGGTAAAGTAAGTTTTGAGAGTTCATGTGAAACCCAAGAGGAGGAGGGACAATTTTAGCAAGGATTCTGAGGGCAGCCTAGAACCCCAGCTTTCCAGGCAAGGAAATAGGTCATGGTTGCCATTTTATTTCCTAAGATAGCTTGCGATTCACATCTAGCACCCAGCTGCACTAAGAAGACAGGCTGTACCCGAAAGGATTGCGCTTTAAGCCAGGTCTAGGTTCCTCCTCAGCAAAGTGAGAGGCAGTTATAACTTCAGCCTTAGAGAGGAGTAAAGCAGATATCCGGTCAATGTACTTACAATTTGCCACATCGATGGTACATTTTTGGATGCCCTTTCCTTGTAAAGGTGACGGGACAGAGCAATATTGTTTCTGCTTCATTACAGCAAGGTCAGTTTGCATCCTTTGGAAAGTCACTTGTTTGTAAAATTTGCCTGTCTTTATACGCACACTGTGTGCTCACAACCATTTGAGCTTCCTGAGACAACTGCATAATATATCTTTTATGGTAATTGCCTCATTTCTGCAAGAAGTACAATATTTTCTTAGCTTACTGGGTTTTCAGAATAGATAGAAAGTCTTACAACAAGTAGAAATTTCCCTCATTATTGCAATTTTCCAAGAGGTGGTATTTACCTAAATTTATCTATTCAGATCACCTGAATAATTACAGTCAGGTGGCATACTGTGACAACTGAGAATGAGGGTGATCATTCCTGTATGGGATAATTTGTATTGTGTACTTAGCTCCATTGTAAGCGTTGTGCTGGCCAGCAATGAAGAGCCTCAATTCTTGGGGAGTCTGTAATACACTTGAGAATTTATTCAAGAAAACAGGCAATTTTATTAGAATAGAGAAGTATAAACATGGGCTAACTATGAAGGAACCACAGAACACAAATGAGAAAAGAATGGGGTGAGTAGATAGAACAAAACAAAATAACTGACTAATGAAAATGACAAAACTAAACATTTTTAAAGAGAAAAACATATAGTCTGCTGTGGCCTGCTTAAGCAGAACATTTTAAAGGTTTGGCCATTAGTCCATAAATATTCCCTTCTCTGACACTAATAATAATACTTAATAACAAATATCACACAAGAAAATAGAATCGCCTGTATTCTTGCCTGGACCAGCTCTCATGAGAAGTCAACCTCTTTTATGAGTTATTGATCATCACTGGTTAGGTGAGTTTAACTAGTCTCTTCATCTGCTTAGGATTCCAAATCGATTCAACATGTAAGCTGCAGAAAACAGAATGTGTCTACATATTTTGTGCAGAAGTAAATTGAAGGGAATTCAGTACTGGAAAGATGGGCTGTGGGTTGGGCCTCTGGAAATGGCTTCCAGAATAACCCTACCTAACTGGCTCCCAGGAAGGTTCCTGCTTGGGTCTCCCTCAGAAAGGCCATCCTGAGACCTGCAGAGGACAAGAACTCTGGAGGACAAGCACTTCAGAGGATAAGAACTCTAGATAGCCACTGTCCAAGTGCTGTCCAAGCCACACTAAACTTCCTACAAACATGGTGGCCAGTCAGCAGCAAGGTAGTAGGTTATAGCCACAGCCAGATCACAGCCTGCTGATATCCAGGAACCTAATGAGGGGACACATGACCCTGCTGGAGTAAAGTTCTATTTCTCAAGGACATATTCAGCCAGGAAAATCCCTGCATTTCATTTCCCAACCTTGTGCAGGTGTACCTAAATGAAGAAGTCAAGTCTGTATCCAGAACCTGTTTGCACAGGAGTCTGGGAAATGTAGTTCCCAGTGGAGCAGATTCTGCACTGGACAAAGATATTCAAGTAAGAGGAGAGGACTGGAGTGGATTCTCTAGCTGCACACAAGACACGGAAGGGCATTTCCTCGGTTCTTTACCTAGATGGAGACCTTGTTCAGTGGTGTCAGAGGGCAGGAATCTCTTTGTGGAAACCACATTTACAGACCCCTTGTGACAGGAAGGTTACATCTACTATCACTTACTTGTGATGTAAGGAGTTCCTTTAATTCCTTTGTCTCTTCTTTTCACTACAAAATGGGGATAATATTAAGATCTCTCTCAAAATTTTGTAGTGAGGATTAAATGAACTTACAGGCAGCAGTCTCCGAATAGTGTCAGACATCTTAATTAGCAGCTATTTCTGTTTAGAGTCTGGGGTAAAAATAGGATCTTCTATTTTTTGTTCACTTAATGAACAAAAGCATTAATACTAACTTGAGACATTAGCTTATGCCAGTACTATTTAAAATTTAGCCATTTTGTATTTTGTACAGAACACAAAAAGAGGTATTAAATCCTTCAAAATGAGATTATATGTACTGAATGATGCTTACATCTTCTGGTGTGTAGAATTCTATCTCCTGCTGCACAGCTTAAAACAGAGAAAATATCTTTCTGGATTACTAAAATTTTAATCAGAATATTTGAGTGAAGCTTCCGAAAACAAACATACTTAAGAAGTGAAAAAATGTGTTTTCTCCTGATTAGTCTTCAGGAAGACTTCTTCAATGAAAACTGTAGCAATGGTTTCCACACCCTTACTATACACAGAGGGCATGACAAAGATACTCTTGGTATTAAAGGCAGAATGTGCAAGTGAGCCATTCTCCTTGATAATCATTTATCCAGGGCAATCAAACCAGATATCCTAAGCTCATCAGAAAAAATATAACAGTATCTCATGACTTCCATGCCTTTTGATAATGAAACCTTGGAAAGATCTTTAAGGAGTCTTTCACTACGCATTTTCACTAACATAGTTTGACAGCAGATAAGGAGAGAATCTGCCCACCTTTCATATAGATCTGCTGTCTCACGCTAAGAAGGGACTCTAAGGATAAGATGGCAGGGAAGGTCCTAAGAGCTGATGTCCCTTTCATCCTTCTGTGGGTTTTTGTTCATGTCGCTTTTTTGAACACAAGGATTCTGGTTTGTGCCTTAATTAAGAAATATGGTATCAGCTCTTCTGTATTATAATAGGGTGCCTAAGGTAAAGGAAAAATTTCATTTATTCAAGACTTGGTGTCCATAAGAATCACTGAAGAAGGAGAAGGAGGAATAGGAGGGGAGGCAGACAAGAGGGAGGAGGAGGATGAGAAATGAAAAAGAGACAAAGGAAGTACATTAAATGCAGGATATGAAGAGAAGTGGCAAAAAGAAGTCATAACTGTAAGTACTATAAATGTAAATATCTTATCCTAATTAAAAATCAGATACTCTCCTGTCAAAATAAAATGATATTCACAAAGAACTACACTTAGGAAGGATCCAGAATGAGTGGATTCCAGAATAGAGGAGGGAAAAAAGATCAAGCAAATAGAAAGCAGAAGAAAACTGAGATATTAGCATTCTTATTAGTTAAAAACGTAGTCTTTAAGACAAAGAGCAGCGTAAGGGACCCGGACAAATCTTTAATAATAAGTTGTCATAAACCAAAGAGGATAAAAGATAAATACCATGAATATTTACATGTGCAAAACACAACATCAACATTTACAAAGCATTAAATTTATAAAAGTAAAGATAGATGCAATGGTTTGAATACGGCTTATTTCCACCAAAATGTAAACTACAGTATAACACCCACCACGAAGTATTAAAAGGTAGAAATCTAATCTGACTATAATGTTCAGACCTGGGGTCTTTGGGCGATAATTAGGATAGATAAGGTCATAAATATGGAACCCCCAGGATTGAATATTGGTGTCTTTATAAGAACAGAAACCAGCGGATACTCACTACAAATGTTTAGGTCTTAAATTATTTCCCTACAGACTTAGTTCCCTGTGAGGTGCTACGGGAGGTGGTGGAAACTCTAAGGGGTGTGTGTGTGTGTGTGTGTGTGTGTGTGTGTGTTCCAGTCATTAGGGTTGAGCTCTTGAAGGGGATGTGGGGCTCTGGTCCTCTC